ATGTTACTGTTCTCTGATTTAGGTGTCTGTGTCAAGAATAAAAATGAAGTATAACTGGTAGCAGAAGACTATTTCCTAAATGTAATTTAGTATTCACTAAGCACCAGCACTTTGCAAATAGCTCTGAGGCTTTCCTTCAAAGTTCAGAGCTCTAGTTATGCATATTGTGTGAGGTATACCACGCAGCTCACCTCCAGCCTCTGTTGTGCTGAATAGATGGCTATGATAAATCATGCTGATTTGGCACTGAAGGGCATCAGCCATCAAGGATTTGACTACTATGTCTTTTTTTCCCTGAGATTATATCTCCTTGAACTGCCTGCCCTGGGCTACTAGTTTTGGAGAAAATTAAAAAGTGGAAAAAATGCTAGGGGAGGCCAGTACAGAAAGTCTACATAGGCTCAGTTCTCTGGAAACCCATTAACACCAGTCACAAGACTGGCAAAGAAAACATTGGTGGTTGTTTAAAAGTCAGGCCAAGTCATTTTACGCAAGATCTGGTAATTCATTAATCAATTTGGCTGCAAACCTTGAATGAATAACCTGAAATAGTGAAAGGGACTGGCAGCACCACAGAACATGAGGGAGTTTATAATCTGAACCAACGCAAATTACCCTGGTCATGTTTAAGGCTCCCCTCTATCCTCATCATCTTCCTCATGCAAACCCTTCCAAATAAATAAGAAATCATTTATCTCTATGATTTACCCTGCTGCCAGGGGCAAGACAGTATGCATTTCATTGTCCATCTCTTTCTCTCCCCACACTCTCATTGCTTGTAATACAGCATTTTTTGGCAGCCTACAATAAAACATAGCAGCCTATTTAGGCTTTCCAAATACATGGCACATAGCACAGTCTTGAAAAGTAACCTGGGCTACACCTACGCAAAACAAATAAAAATAAAGTCATCAAATACGTTGAGCATCTCTCTGGAATACTGAATTATGTAAGTAAATGAAATGCATGGAAAGGCAAGCAATGTGGGTTTTCTGAAGTCTTTTTAAAGGCTAAAAAAGTGTTTTGCCAAGTATGAGAATACCATACTTACAAATCTTTATGATTTTACACAAGTTCATTATACTTTAACAGGCTATTGCCTATCTGTGAGCTGAATTTTCTCCTAACATCAGCAGAGTTATTTGTAAGCAATGCCAACAAGGAGATGTATCCCCTGTAGATATCTTCTCTCTCCATAATACTAGGCATGGGTCACAAATAATTTTAAATATGACTAACCTTACATGATAGGGTACGGTATATTCAAAGAAGCCTCAGGGGACAACAGTTTTCGCAAACAAAAAGCCTTCTCACTCATGCCACATTCAGTTGTATGGTTGTTCACATTTTCACATAGCATTGGCTTGAGAATGAAAAACTAATCATTCTGATTTTCTAAAAGTAGTCAAATCAATTTTTTACAAATACAATTTTTTAAAGTCTAGTTCTTCACAAAAGCAAATAATGAAAGTGAATGATGCAGTGAACCATCTAAATAACTGGTCCTGGGTGACTTGTTAACTATTTACGTTCATGAACTTGTGTCAACAGACAGTGCCCTGAGGGGCAAGAACTCCTTCCTTTTCTCGTTCCAGTAGTCAGAACAGTAGGCAAAGAAAACCAGGTGAAAAACAGAAGTGATCAAGCTGTGAATAGAAAGAAATAAACTAATTCATAATATGCACATATACACACATTGATAACCAGAGCCTCCACGCTGGGGCGGATGGTACAGGCTTGATTCAGGAATAGTATCAGCTACCCTGGCAGGTGAGTAGAATAATGCAGTGACGAACCAGGTGCGTCTATGAGATGCTGGCGTGTTTTAATACTAGGGCGAAGGCCACTATCTCATCATACCTAAGCAGATGAGAACAGGGATTTATACTCAAGAGTTACATACCATCTAGACTAATTGGACCTTTATCTCATTTGGCTCCTGGTTGCTACCACAACTATTAACAATTTCTAGTCCGTGAGACTCCCAGTGCCACCGTTTGTGGGTGCTCAGCTCAAGTGAGTTTCCAGGAACATGATTTGCAGAAAGCCTGAAAATTCACTTTCTGAAATACAAGTCTTTCTTAACAAATAGTGCACTAGCTTGAGACACCCAGGAATTTTGTAAAGAGCTTTTGAACACTGGCCCTCCCCTAGATAATGCCACATGTACTGCATTAATACTTCAAAGGAGACTGTCCATCATTCAAGGTTATGTTTGGCAATTGTTAATTGTACATTTTGTGCAATTAATGCTGTTCTTGTACTTCCCAACATTTGTTTGCCATTCTGGTTCTTCTCCTTCCACCCCAAAGAGACTGTATTTCTATTTTTGTATGACAAGGCCTCATCTGGAAACTTAAGTTAGATAAAACATACTACTCCCACAATGATATGAAAGAATTTTTTTTTTTTTTAAAAAGGGGAAAAAAGAGTTATTTTCTTTAAAAAGAAAAGCCAATGCAGATCAATATGGAAAAATCTAGAGATTACCAAATGGGAAACTGCACAAAACTTCCATTCTCTCAGCTAAAACAAATAGTTCCTTGTAGAATATGTAAGATAGTCTCTGGAGGAAGAAGACATCTTCTTCTGTTCTTGAGCACCCCCAGTCGTCACATTACAGAGCGGCAGAGGCAAAAAATAGTGCAAGGTATCCAGCTGCACGATGGAGAATGGGGATAGGGTTAATGTATGGGAGGAGAAAATAACTGTTTCTTTCCCATCTTCCTAGGCCAAACAACCAAGAAAGGTAAATATAATACACTACAAAGGCAAAAATAGTCTAATTTTGCACTGCACTATAGTAAAATGCTATTAGAGCACAATTTGTCCCTACAGGTAAGTATGGGCCAAGCTGTGCTGTCAGAGACAGCAATGCAGCCTGCAACTGAAGCTGATCAGTGCAAGGAAATCCAAGCATTTGCAAAGAGGACAATAGAATTTGCCCATTAGGAGAAGCAGTATATTTCATTTCCAACTATTATTTCTGAGCTATTAGTTCCTGCATTCCCCGTGCTGCATACCACCTATTTCTTGAAACTGAGGCTGCTCATCCTCAGATGCACCCAAATGTGCCTGTGAGAGGTTACATGTAACGGCCAGTACCTCGTGTCACCATCTCCCAATGAGATTAAGTACAAGTCTATCTGGTTGTCTTGCTGTTTGCAACATGCTTTGATTTTCAGAATGGGAATTGTTTGATATAGGAAGTGACAATTGACAATCCTCTACAAGGAGTGTAGGGGAATCATCACTACCTATCCAAGACAATTTTGTACTCGGCAGCTGTGCCCACAAGTGCAGCCAGGCAGTTACACACAGGGCAAGCAAAGAGCCTGTGGTCAAGTTCTGCTGGTTTTACTGGAACAATTTTTGTGGTTAGAGTCGGTAGGTGCTTAATTATATTACTTATCTGGAACTTACACTTTGAAAGTCTGCATCTTCAAGTGATTTTTCTAAAAAGAAAATGCCTCTGCATTTGGCTTTGGATGAATGAGGAAAAATATGTCTCCTCAGTTATAAAAAAGGCAAAGCCACTCTCTACAATGCTAGCTGCAAATGTGTCCTCTGCCCCTGTGCCTCCCTGCTACCGACTGTCCAAACCTACTCACCAACACACCGTACCCTGCCTGAGGCAGTACAACTGCAATTCAATAACAAGACAGGGTTTGGAAACTTTGTAAAACAAGGTGTGGAACATTATACAACTAATGAAAAAAGAGGGCCCAAGCACGGGGCTTTGCAGGGCTAATGTAATTTTTATTTGAATGAAATTAATTCCAATTTACTTGGGTGTAAATGATAGAAATTGAATAGAGAGGACCAGTTTCTGCTATCAATTACAGTGGTATAAATCCAGTGTAACGTCACCTCCATCAGGGAGATCACTGTGATTTTAGGGTTGTATACAAAAAAGAATTTCATTCAGGACATCTTAGGCAAACATTTTACAATACTGTTTTAGTTAATCTTTTCCAGCCTTTAAACTCCACTGTGACAATTCGGGGCATCTCCGAGCCAGTGGGCCAGCCGTACTTCCTGGAGCTGTGGCACCTGGCGTGTGAAAGGCAGCACCCGTGCTTTACTGTTGCACAAGGTCTTCCTGCCAGCTAATTGATTTATTGACCAATTTCCAAGTCAGTGGACGATCTATGGGATCTCCTATCATCAAGGAGGGAAGGAGGTTAGGGTTCAGGAGCAGCATGGCTGCCCCATAACCATGGGGTGGAGAATCATGAAGGCATTACACAACAAAAGAAAGAAGAACAAGACAGAGATAAAGAGACCGTAACCCTCCTCTCATACACCCTGATCCTCAAGGCAGTATTTTAAGGAAAACATTTAAATCTCTCCTACCATCCTTCAACTTTTACTTTAAGACTGACCTCCATCAAGAGATACATGAAACATCCTAAACAACACACTGGCTTCTGAGCTATTGACAGCCCTCACTGCCTTCTCTGCTACATCCACTCTTTTTCTTCCTTATACATCAACTATGAGGACCTCTCAATTTGTGTGCTGAGTGCCTTGCACACTAATGCTCGGAGTAGTAAAAACCTTTACTTGAAATGCCCCAGTACCCATCAGCTAACTGCTGTGCTGCACTCCACTTCTTGCTGGGGAATGCAAGTGGAAGACAACAAACACGTTTCAACTTTTGTTTTTCTTTGTAGCTGACAACTGTGCAACTCCTCGCCATGACGCCACAGGACAGTGCACTCTAGGCTCTCTTTAGCTGTTTACTTTAAAAAATCAAAAGTTCCATTTAATTTCTTTCAAGACTTTTTCCCCAGTTTCTCCAGATTGCAGGCTTGGTTTTGATCATGAGGATTAACGGCGCCAGTCAGAACCCATAACACACATCACCATTTTTGCTGTCTCTTAATGGGGAAAAACAGTAAAAACATTGCCCACCAGGCTTAAAAAAAAAAATAAAAAAAAAAAATAAAAGAGCAAGACAGGACTTTGCAACATGCACTTGCAACACCTTGCCTTACCTCAAATATATTGGCGGGTTCATTGCTGTACTGATTGGAGATGATCTCTGACTGGTCACTGTACCACTTGAGTCCCCCCAGAAAGCTGTCTGCATCTAGGTCGTTCACATCTAGTTCAGAGAGGTCAAGTTCTGGGAGATCTGGGCAAAGAGGCTGGTCTTCACCAACCAGAGCAGCACACTGCAGGAAACAGCAAGACAGAAACAAGTTTCATTAATTACCAGGAATCTATTGACTTTAATATCATGTGATAAGAATTAAGCCTTGATTAAGCTATGGTACAGGGTCATTAGAATTGACTTTGTTTTCTGGAAAAAAAAAAAACCAACCCACTAAGCATCATTGCTCAGCTCTACATAGGTTTGCTAAGAGGAGGGGGAAACAGGAGGGCATAAGCTCTTCTCTGTCCATGGGCAATGAATTCCCTTCTCCCTATACCACTTGATAACAATCGTGTTCAAAGCTTTATTAACTCCAACAGCACAGGCCAAAGCATGGCCTTATTCTCCTGCTTCAGAGTGAACCAGTGCAGGTAGAAGTTACAGATGAATACCTCTGGGCAAGGTCTGTCACACATTTCCTGATGCATTCAGGTTAAAGAGGCACAGCCTGTTACAGCCTCCAGCCCTGGAGGCTAGCTCAAGCTGGAGATATTCACACTTTCACTTCTACAGATCCTCACTGTAATCCTGCAGATCAGTCATGATGGTGGCGACCATATGGGCACAAAAGAGTATGGGTCAGTGATCCTGCTGTGCTCTTTCCCCTATTCACTCAACAATGCACAGACCACAGCCACCCAGTTACACGCCAGGGTCCTGGCAATCAAAGTGCATTCTGAAATATCCCTATATTCACCTTTGGATGACAGGCATAGTTAGTTCACGCAGCCTTTCACTTGCTTATACATGAACACGTATATTGTCCCAATTAGCTTCCTAAGTGTCTCCAGACAGCGGCTGCAGTGAGGGAACCAAATGGGTTTTATTTCTCTGGCAGCCTCTGATTCACTAATTTTCACATAGAGGGTATGTGAAACAATTTGGTTGAGGTAGTAAACGAAGTCTAGTCTGCATGGATCCTCTTCAGAAGTGCAAAATGTTTTTGTCTCCATGACTTACAAAGAGAGTAGTGATAAATACAAATAGACTGGGAATAAGTGTCCATTCATATGCTGGTATGAAGCTAGATAGGGTATTGACTGACCTACCAAACAAGAAAAAATTAATAACACATATCCACTTTAGCATGGCAATTGAAATGTTAGAGTATTCACCAAAACCATTTCCTAATTATGGAAAACATGTAGTAACAGCTTGGTAAATAGTGGACTTCCATATGTCAATACTGCTTGATGAAGCAATTCCTCCTGCACTGAACCATGTACCCTTGTAACTCATCTCCAAACATCTACATTGATATAGGTATACCGCAAAACACACGTAGAGCTACAAAGGCACCAGGCATTGAATGGTTAAAAGCCATTTAAAGTCAACTGAGTCTATGACCTTCCACCCTGAGTATTTCTAGCAGTGTTGTGGACGGCCAACAGCAGATCCTCCTCAACTTCTGTCAGTTGACTGGGTGGTTTGAATGATTTCCCAACCTCTATTTGGACTGAAGTCAACCCAGAAAGTGCCATTTTCCAAAGACAGATGTCTGTAGGGCACTAACACAGTGTCCATGGATGTGAATTGCTCAATACGGGTTATGTCACTCTCGCAAGGACCGCCTTCTACAATAATGCAGCGAGAGCTGCTGAAGGCGCATTTCATTGAGGTTTTTGTCCCTGGGAATCGTGGTGCGTCTGCAGTGTGCGGGCTGGATGTAGCAGCACAGCCACGAGCAAAGGTTTTGTCTGCTGGCACAAAGACTCGGTGCAGCTGGTGCAAGCAATAATTTACCAGACAACTTCTATGTCTACCAGGACACTACGAGATAATCATGGAACAGGCCAAGGGGCAAGGGAGTTGAGAGGCTGCAAAATCATGTCTCTAAAATAGCATTTGCTTTCCTTCCTATCATTTAAGGGACTGCAGAACTTTAAGAAGTCAAAACCTTACTTAAGTAATTTTCACTGAACACAATTTTTTATCATTATTTTCGGTTATAGAAAAAAAAAACCAACACAAAAACAAAGAAAAAAATTGCAGAGTTCACTCTTAGTTAGTGCGAGACACAACTTTCCGGCAGCAATCTTATAATGTAGAGATGACCTTTTTTGATGCTTGGCCGAAATCTCTGATCTCATTAAAGGATAATCTAGTTTTTGACTGAAAAGGTAGATTCTCAGCATCATTCTCAGGTTTGTGTTGTGGAGGTCAGTAGCTTATAACTGATGCTGTAGACTTCTAAAGTATCCTGCTGATCTGTTACTGCTTTCATTTGTAAAAATAGCTTCCCTCTGTGAACCACCTACTTAAACATGTTTACTTTTGGTGAGCTGCATTTTGAAGTTCCTACAGTGGGCTTTTGAAGCAACATAAACAATTGTATTAAAAAAAAAAAATCATCCTGCTCATCACACCTTTCATTTGCTTATAGTGAATGCAATGTCACCTAAAAAAATGTAATTGCTGAAATGAAGTATATATGTTCTTGCCAATGTTGACATGATAATAAAATCAATGTTTCTGAATATGACATTATGCTTCTAATCTGAGACACATTAGTAGCAAGTGTTCCTGTTATTAATTTATATTTGGCCTTTCGATGATGCCAGATTTAACACTCCAAGTCCTAAAACTGTCCTCATCTGAGATGCTGATATTTACTGTTTGCCTATACATCTGTAACAGGTGCACCTGCATTGCTAGCATATATTTTACTGTCTTCCCACCTTTATTTGATATGATAGTTATTCTATAACTATAGTCTTAATTTTATAGTAACATTTAGGAGGATAAAGCAGTCACTAAACACAAAAGGCTAATTACTGTGCATTATTTCACTCCAACAGACATTTTTTTCTCTTAGTTCAGGTGCAAACAATAAATTAGCTTAACTGCACTGCCAATAATGAATCATTATAATTAAGTATAATTCTCCATTAATCTTTTGGACATTATTGCACCTTTGAAGGTAATTTTTTTTTTTTTTTTTTTTAAAAAGACTTGGACTTGTGTCATATTAATTATATTAACGAAAAAATAATCTGTGTTTTATTTTTAACAAGTTTTGCAAACAGACAAGGGGATGAACCTAGCAAAGAAAGAGAGACTTGACAGAACGTGTATCATGTGGATTGTCTCTATCAATCTTCGCAACCTTACTGTACATCACCTTCATTAAGCTGTGAAGCACTGGGGACACTGATCAGCTACAGTGATGCAGGCCTTTATTAAGCAACACGCTGTCCTGTCTTTATGTGAGCGAGAATATAATACATTTGACGTTGACAGCAAACATTAATGATTCAAAAAATGAAAGCTGCCTCTAGTACCTGCCGCCTGCGATATTTTAGTTCAGTAAAGGTGATCCCCCGAGCCAAAGCAGCATGCAGATGCTACTGTATTGCTATAGGAAGAGCAATGCAGGAGCACGTTGGTAAAATCCTACCCACAGTTAATCCATCCGCCACACAATTAATATTAAGATCAACCCTTTTTTTTTTTCTTTTTTTTTTTCCACACTATGAAAAACTCATTGACATAAATTATCTATTCTGTTACTAGCTTGAAATTACTGCAGGAACTCTAGTGATTAAAATAAATCTTCAGTATTTCCATATAAGCTGGTTCCTCAATCAGCTCCTAGCAGCATTAGGAATAATACATGATGGAAAAATGAAGCTATGGCAGCTAAGACCCATGCTACAAGCCAGACAACAACCCACAGGATACTCCAGCTACTCAGAAACAATTAGGACTTTGGAGCCAGAAAGTCATCCACTTACAGCCTTGACTCATAATAGCTACAGGACATATGAATTATCCATATCTATTCCACTTTACCACGAAATCAAAACAAGATAAGAGCAATTACAAAATGCAAACAGAAATCAGCGGATACAATGGCAAACTGCAAATATTTAAAACATGACAAAAAGACTTGAGAATCCTCCCGCATGCTTCATCAGATAGGAAAAATATACCGGCGAACACAGTACCACGTTTGCTTTAGTTGGGTAGCTCTCTACGGCATGAACATCTTATTTGAAAAGCATTGCCTGTAACCTGTTTTTCCCTTCCCCGTTGCCTGAGGGAAGCATTTTAAGCACTTATTCCAAGCTCGCAGCCAGAGGGTTAGTTCCTTTGAGCAGGTCTGTATTTGGGATTCCTCTCCATGGGGTCCAAAGAAAGTTTGCCTCGCTTTGCAAGTTGCCCGAACTTTCAGGTAACGCTCCATTTTGCCGAATGCAAACATGCAGAAATCCTCAAACCTGACTTTATACTCCAGAGATTACCGGGGAGCTGCTTGCTTTTTTTTCCCCCCCTTTATGAATTGTAGCCAGCAGAAGCTGTGGATTTGATGTATTGCCGTCTATTTTTACACAAGCAGCAGCGTCGGCGGCAGCAGCAGCAGCAGTTCACACAGTTCTGCATAAACTCTATTCTCAAGGTTCATCCTGTTGTCTCTGTTGTACAGTGGGATTTAACCATTTGTTGGACTACTCGGATTGCCTGAGAACCCTGCTTTATGGGACATTAGTTACAGCATCATTATTCCAATATCACAAGAAGCAGGGAAACATCTCCTTCCAGAAATCTCTTTTAAAAGCATCTAAAGCCAAACAACAGGGTATTCATTCTTGTGTGCGTGTTTGAATTCTGCAGCTGACAAACAAGGAAAAAGCCTTTGACAGAGCACAGTGAACAAGCAATTAAAATATAAAGCTATTGGTTAATTTTAACTTTTTTTTTTTTTTTTTAAAAAAGAAATGTTAATCTTATTCTAAATAAACATGGCATTTTTCCAACCAGGCCACTAAACACCACTGGAAAGACTTCAGACATGAATTCATATCAATATCTTAGAGCATAAATATTGCATATGACGGGAAAGCAAGCCAGAGGCACATGAAAATAGTTTCCAACTGCAGGAGATACTGATGACAGGAGCTCAGCTTTGATTTGCTCAAGGCATCGCAGAGTAACCTTAAAATAGCAAACTTACTGGAGTTAAGATAAGATTCGGACTTGTTTGCAAAGTCTGCCGCCTCGGCTGTCCTGCCGGCTCCCTGACAAGCCCCCCGTCCCCGCCGCCCGCCTGCGCCCCACGCACCACCCACGCCACGCACCCCTCACCTCGAGATCACTCCATACAGAGTCCTGGTTGCACATGTCCCACGCCATCCAGCTGCGGAGCGACGGCAGGAAAGCTAGCAAACTACGGTCCAGAGGCAGGCAGGCAGGCGGCAGACACTCATGCAGGCAACGAGACCCTCTCTGAGAGTGAACCGAAGGCACCTGTCTTACTACTGTTCCCCGTCACATGACAAAGCTATTAAAAAGTAGGCTGGGCTGTCTCTCATCCAGCCTTCTGGTGCCGCTGCTCCAGCCCGTGACGTCACCCAGGGGCAGACCCAGCCTGAAGTGAAGTAAATCTTTGCAAAACCCGCTCAGACCTCAGCGGCCGTGGCACCACGCTGTGATTCAAAGCAGATTTCCACGCCACACCCCCAAAACTCTGATCCTGCCATAGAATAGCTCCCATCCCTTCCCATCGTTTTTTATTTCTTGGCTTGCTTTCTTTTTCTCCCCCCCTCCCCCCAAGCAAACAACAGGCAGAGCTGTGCTTATTATAAAGAAAAAGTGAAGTAACTCCAAGCCGAGCGACAGCCTGCGTGCTCTGAACAGCCCGAGCCCAACCTCTGCAGCACCAGCACCGGCTCCCCGGCACCGTTTCCTTTGGAGAGGGTATCCCAGAGTTCGGCAAAAGTTACACCACCTTCCAACAGTTTTTTTCACTCAGGGTTTTTGTACCTCGCCAAGTACTTTGGTTAGCTCAACAGTTTCTCATCAATAATTACAACTCAAGTTAGTTTTTCTGCACTAAATGCATCAGCAAAATCCCCCCCCACACACACACCCCGGCATTTCCCAGGAATGGAATAAGCATCTATAAAAGACATTCATACAGTTATCTCACCTGCTACAAGGAGGGACCCTGATCCTGTTTCCAGCTATATTACAGTATTTCTCAGCTGCTCTTTAACCACTTCTCTGTCTCAGTGCCCTTCCCCTAGAAATCAGGGCTGCTACAAGCAACTGCCCCAGTCCTGCCCATAACTGCTCAGCCCCCCGCCTGCTTTTTCCTATAACAGGGCTGCCTCACAGGGTGCATTTCTGTATAAACACCGTGCACCAACCCCTCTGACCTGGACCCAGCATTTTCCCACTGAAAATAAAAAAAAGCTCCTCTTGTTGTGTGAAAACCCAGCCACGCTTCTAAGACAAGTGTCTCCTCCTCGAAGCCTTTCCCAGACAACAGGGGCTGCTGCAGGTGCCCCTCTGCACTGCGTACACAACAAACTCCAGGTACCAAACCGAACTGCAAAACATTGCCCACAACAGGGAAAAAAACCCACAAATAAATGTCTTGTTTAACTATCCCCACCTGCCTCCTTATAGTCTTAAGTTGCAGGGTTTTTTATTAGAGAGATGCAAAATGTATGTAGAAATGTAAGCACTGGCTCCTCTGCACTGGGCTACCCATCAAAGTCACAAAACTATAATTGATCATCCTCCTTGTCATGAAATATTCATTTTCATTGTTATTTGTAAACTTGAGTATTCTAAAGGCTAAATGAATTCAATTATTATACAAGGCTATGGCAATTTCGCTGAGAGAAAAAATAAATAAAAAGAAGTACAATTCTTGAAATAGCCTTTTTCTTGCAGGCACTGGAAACTTCAGAAATGGTAGGAGGTCTCAGATATATTCTTAGCTTATTTGTGTTCCCTTGTAATTCATTATTGCCAGTCCTGATAAAACGTACAGTTTTCCCGGCTTGTGCTTAAGTTGCAAATCACATCACACTGTCATATTTTCACCAAGCACAGATGACAAAAATGGCATTGTTTTTACTTTACTTAATTAAAAAAAAACCACAGCAAAATACCAAATGACTACAGAAAGCCTTTCTTACAAATGATTAAATTAACAGTACTGCTTTGCTCTCACGACGAAAAACCCTCTCATTTCCTTCCCAATTATATGAAGATTTCATGATAAAACTGCAGTAAATTATTAAGATCTGGGGCAAAGGTGAGTACCTCTACCCCCCGAACAGTCAACTGTGAAATAACGCTGGGCACCTGCCTGCTTGGAGTGGAATCGGTTCTTATTAATTATTGTATGTGGATCCATGGTTGGTGGAATATTCTCCCTCAATACCTATTTATAATTGTGTTCATTGACTGTGCCGAATCCATCATCTGGTTTTTTTTTGAAGTTTCATTCACACCTTTTATAGAAATGTATTTACACTGGAACATTTCATATTGCTGTTTTGGATATTTTGACCTGCTCATGTTGCTTCTATTTTCTACATTTCCACTTCACTGCTTTCCCTTCAAATTAGCAAGTTAACTGATAAATATAAACTGTGACCTTAGTGGTGCTCTCACCATACGAGCTTTAGAGATTGGAGAACTTTCTTAGTGCATTGTAGACAGTACAAGCAATAGGAAATAATAACAGAGTCCCCCAGAGCTTTTCCATGCCCCTGTCCACATTACAGCTTGAACTTTGCTGGCAATTCCAGCATTACCTGGAAGGGAAGCCAAGCACAATTCCAGCTACAAAAGACTTGCGAGGTTTCAACAAGGGTTCCCCACTGCTTGGGAATAATTTTATTTTTAAAAATCAAAGTGTCTAACACCAGCTACAGTACAAATTTACTCACTAGGATTTTTTTTTCCCATTTTTAATGTGGTTTTTTGAGTGTAGTGCCCATAAGAGGAGAAAGGCAAGGAAGGCAGCTGCAGTGGTGGTGTAGTTTGGAAACGACGCAGCCTCAGCATATGTAAATGAAGCCTGTGAAACCCAGCCAGCACCTAAGCTTCTCTCATCAAAGGAAACCTTGTCTTCTGAACATTCCCCAGTAGCTGTAGCAATACTCTCCCCTTGTGTTTTGACAACACAAAAAGAATTGCACAAACATCTTTCCTGGGGCAATATCTGAGCACACACACATTAGTTGGTTCCATAACAAACACATACAAAGAAAACTGTCTTTCAGCTGGCAAAGTCTGCCAGTCCATTTGACCCAATCTGCCCTGTTGCAATGCCCATCATCAGACCACCTCCTCAATCACTGCACTTCCTCCGTTTTCAAGTTACTCTGTACCTAGTCTCAGTGAATGCCAAATTTTGCCTTTTCTTCTTCAAGGGCCATCATTTAAGAAAGTTCTGATAAGCCTTCCAACAGCATTTGGGCACAAATTCCCAAATCCTGATAACATTTTTTAACAGGACTGGAAGGTATGGCTGCCTATAACAACAGGGAACAGAATTAAAAGACTGAAGTCTTCAAGCCCTCTGTCCTTGACTTTTTCCTGAATTCAGCATTCATTTTATCTCTTCCTCCTCTTCCTTCACCCACATTTTCTAACTATGTTCATGTTTTTATTCCCTGTAATTTGGATTTCTCAAAGAAGCTACTGACTTTGGAGCCCCTGTGATTTTGAAATCCAGAACTTACTCCCTTCATCATGGCACTGAGGAAAAATTTCTTTCCTTGCCCCAAGACTAGGGTACTTGCTGATTTTCAGCAAAGTTTGCTACTTTTTCAGTACAGTAAGACAACCAAACTTGTATATAAAATCGTGCTGGAGTTTCAGCAAGCTGAGGTTTGCAGACAAGTTCTCACACTAGTTCAACCCCTTCCACTCAACCCTCCAAGAGTGAACAGCCTTACAGCAGAAGATCAGCCAATGCTGTATATAAAAGAGCAAATTGCACTCCAAAGGTGTGTTAGCGTGAATGGTGTTCTAGATAAAGTATACATACTCTATTAATTTTTTATTAGAAATCTTCCTTCTATGCATCTTTACTCCTATTTTTCGCAAAGCCCTGTATTTGTTTTCCACTCCATTCTCTCTGTTCCATTTCTATCCTATTTGTTTGCTGATTTTTTTTCCTTCTCAGCTTTTCCTTATTTATCTAGTTCATCCTACCCAGAATACGCCCTCAATAGCATAAGCCAGTGAGTCAAACTCCTTGAACTTCTGTGTTTATTGGTTCAGCAATTCTACAATGGGATAAAGTAACGTATCCTCTCCAATTTTGCTAGGGCTGTTATGAACTGAGGTTTTGTTTTGTTTGGGTTTTTTGTTTGTTTGTTTTATTGTGGGGTTTTGGGGGGTTTGTTCGGTTTTTTTAAACAGGGAAACCACAACGGTGCTCTGTACCATCTCTCTGAAAAACTCAAGAGATCTGGGCCAAATTAATTCCTGGCCCATCTCTGGGCCACAGGCTGCTGTCTGAGGAGCTGTGTATTAGAGAGTCCAAAAAACAGCAATGCATTACTGACATTACTGACACCAGGCTGAATTTTGACACATCTGCCTCCACAGACTGAGGGCTCAAATAAACAGCACTGAATGCCAGGGGAATTCACTTGCTTGTTCACATGCAAATGGACCTGACTGCAAATATTCACTATTAATGCAGATTAGCTGATTATCAGTGTTAACCAGGCTTGCAGACATGCAACTCTATAACTCGGTGCTTGTAGTAAAACCTTTCAAGAGCGCTTAAGTGAAGCAGAAGCACAGGTATCCACTTAAAAAAATCTTTGTAAGTTTTCTCATACCTCCCTCAACATCTCCCTCTTTACAAGCATATTTCACTTACTCATTATTAAAACAAGAAAAGCAAAGCCACTCCAGCTGATTACATAAAAAATACATTTGTCACTTGTTTCCCCCAACATTTGTAGCATATGTTCTCCAGCACCCATATTTGCTATGATTTGCAGGAAAATCCAGCTTGTCAGGCCTGTTAAAAGCAGCATGAACAATGTCTTTCAGTCGCATGTTCTGTTTCACAGAGAGACTAATCTGTAAAAGAGCATCTATATTTAAATTTATTGCCCATATATATATGAGAAACTAAAGCACATAAACACATCAGTTTCCTGGGGAGGTTTTGGTGCTGTAGGAACACAGACACCCAGGCAAGCCAAGGAGACATACTCTTGTTTTGCAACTTCTTGCACATTGGCAGAGGAGGCAGGACCACATCAAAATCGCAGACCATTGAAGATCTTCATCATCTCTCCTTTACTCACCTCAGTGCTGATATTTCCCTGGAACAAAAGAAATCATAAAGTTCTTTTTTCCTCTTT